GGGGAGAGGTGCAGCGCTGCTGGCCAGGGGAGATCAGGAAGAGGAACGGGCCGGCGGGAAGCAGAGCTGGGGGAGTGTGTGTGTGCAGGGGGGCTGGTCGGGGACGATCTGGAGGGGAAGTGCGGGAGAACCGGCCGGCCGGGAATGGGGGTGTTGAGCAAATTGGCCAGTGGGGAGCAGGACTGACCTGGGCACTTGCTGCCTGTCCCACGCAGGCTCCCGGCGACACACGAGTGAGAAGGAGGCTTCCCCCCCTCCTCACACTCAACCAACTGAGGGCTCCCAGCAGCAAGCATGGCCCCGCCTCCCAGCTGGGACTCCCAGCCGCTCCCCCACCCACGCCAGGCTTCCGTCCGGTGCGCAGCTGGAAAAATCAGAAAATACTGGACATTGCACATATCCCGTATTTTCTGATTTTTTTTACCAGACAAAGCGGGCAAATACCGGACTGTCCAGTACAATACCGGACACCTGGCAACCCTAGCCTCGGGATCCATGAGGGCGCTTCCACTTTGAAATGTACAAGAGCCCCCGCTTCTCAGGAAGCGCACCAGCAGTTTTGGGGAAGGGAGGAGCAGCGCACATGTTTCCCAAGACTCGGGATCTAGCATGCAGCCTCAGGACTTTCCCTCCACGCTGCAGGAAGCCGGCAATACCTCCATTTTCCCAGGAGGTTGTAGCGCGGGCTCCTTCTTAGGGGTGATGGGAAGCAAGAGGGGAGCCCGGAACACCTCGCGATCGACGGGTTGGTGGCCATGGGTATACTATAGACTAAGCCTAAATCACAAAGTTATTTCAATAGTACTATATTGCTCAAAGGTGTAGAAAATCCACACTCCTAAGCAATACAGTTATGCCAACCTAGCTCCCGGTATAGCCAGCAATTGCTTGTTGATGGAAGGGTTACTAGGGATGTTAAAATGGTTAGCTGGTTAAACAATAGCACTTAACCAGTTAACTGTTTTAACTGATGCTCCAGGCAGGGGGCCTGCCACCTGACCCCACCACAACCAGAGCTGCTCTGGCTGTGTGCAGCTAGTTGCTGCTAGAGTTAACTGGCAAGGACCAAAAAAAAAAACCACAAAACACCTTAAAAAACAATAAGTGGTCCTTATTGTCCAATAAGTAGCACCTTAGGGTACATCAACACTTGCACCCTCGTTCGAACTAGGGATGCAAATGTAGGTGACTGAAATAGCTTTGGTCCACATTAGTTCGATTCAAACCCCTTGGTTCGAACTAACATTACTCCTCGAACATTAGTTCGAACCAAGGGGTTTGATTCGAACTAACACGGCCTGGAGCGCACTTCCTGGTTCGAAACAGCTGAGTTCCAAAACAGCACACGGGTGAGATTATGCTAATGAAGCGCAGGATATTTAAATCCCCGCTTCATTTACTACTTCGGTCGCCTACATTTGCATCCCTAGTTCGAACTAGGGTGCAAGTGCAGACATACCCCTAGAGACTAACAAAAAAATATAGATAGTATCATGAGTTTTCATGGGCACAACCCACTTCTTAAGATGAAAGAAGAAGAGGGGTTTTGCCCACGAAAGCTCATGATACCATCCATATTTTTTGGTTAGTCTCTAAGGTGCTACAGGACCACTTTTTTTTAAGTTTTTTTAATTATAGATTAACACAACCACCCCCCTGAGACTTGGCAAAGACCAGTTTTCCAATAAGCCTTATGCTTACTGATATGCTTACCAGTTAGTCAACATCCCCAAGGGTAAGTCTACACAGCGGCGCTATTTTGGGAAATTGTCTGTTATTCTGAAATAGCATTCTGCACATCTTAACAGCAAACCCGTTATTTCAAAATACATTCAAAATAATAAACTTAAAAAACAACAAATAGTCTGGTAGCACTTTAAAGACTAACAAAAGATGTAGATGGTATCATGAGCTTTCTGGACATCCAACACTCTGGTCATACGAAGATGTGGGCTGTGCCCACAAAAGCTCATGATACCATCTACATGTTTTGTTAGTCTTTAAAGTGCTACCAGACTATCTGTTGTTGTTTAAGTTTATCCTGTACAGACTAACTCAGCTACTCTGTGAAGATTCAAAATAATGAGCATCTTATTCCGGCTTCCTGTAAACCTTGTTGTATGAGGAGTAAGGAAGACTCCAGAATAGCAATTTATTTAGAAATTAGACATATGTTGACAGTGCCAAATTTCTAAATACACTATTTCTCAATAAGCTATGCTATTTGCGTAGCTCAAATTGCATAGCTTATTTCGAGGTACGCATGACTGTGCAGACATACCCTAAGAGACGTTCCTATGAGCATAGCTATTTTCTCAGGGGCTATGTCTAGACTGCAAGCCTCTTTCGAAAGAGGCTCTTTCGAAAGAGAGCGTCTAGACTGCACGCGGAACTTTCGAAAGAGCAAGCCGCTTTTTAGAAAGAAAGCACCCAGTGAGTCTGGATGCTCTCTTTCGAAGAAGCCCTATTTACATTCAAGAACGCCTTCTTTCGAAAGAGCACTTTCGAAAGAAGGCGTTCTTCCTCGTGAAATGAGGTTTACCACCGTCGAAAGAAAAGCCACATTCTTTCGATTTAATTTCGAAAGAACGCGGCTGCAGTCTAGACGCAGGTGAAGTTTTTTCGAAAAAAACCCTGAGTCTGGACACAGCCCCTAGGGAGATGAAGTACCTACACCAATGAGAGAAGATCTGCTGTCAGCATAGGCAGAATCTTCACTTAGCACTACAGTGGTGCCGTTGCAGCCTTACAGCTTATACTTTCAGGTGTAGATAAGCCCTATGTGTTAAAAGCTTTTAAAATAAGTAATGCAAAAATCCCAACTACGAATTCCCAGCCATTCTCTGATATTACAGGAACAGGGTTCTCTTTGCTCCCCGCACAATGAGTAAACTGTTTCACTGAGGGAATAGTGAGCTGTTAATAAACACTCAAAGTTTTATGGATGGAATTAGAGCAGCAAGAGCTCTAAACAACTTAGAGAAAAGGGAAACTAGAACCCAAAAGGAAAATCTCTCCCATGAACCAGCTTTCTAAGAGCACTTTTGAACACTGAATGCACGCAGCTGAAATGTCAGTGAATCAGCTCAGTGCACTGCTGAGAACCAAATGCAAGAATCTGAACATAGTTAAACTCTTCAATTTTCTGTCTCAGAGTACACAACCAGAGCATGTGTGCGACCTTTATTTAAAGTAATAAGCAAGGTTTCATTGGCTGGAAGGTTATTGCCTCATCAAGTCAGAGGACTTCTGTCCCAGCTGAACTGCGAGTTCAGTAAGGGCTCAATTTTATTCCACTGTACCTAAGAGCAGAAGTGATCTTAAAAGATGAAATGAGTTCACATCCAAGTTTTCTCTCTTTCTTATTGACATAGACTTTGTATTGACTAGGAGGGTGGTCAAGTTTACAATGCATTTAGCTAACCCGTATTAAGCTGACTTTAGTGTTAACTAGTTTTCCTCATCAAGACCAACCAGTCAAACAGCACCTACAAATAAAATAGCAAAGAAAACAGAGATTCAGAAGCCTAAAAGATTTTCACCTACAAAAACACACTTTTTGCACTGAGTAGAGTCAAATAAACTGCTGTGTTTAATCTCTTAAAAGCAGATGCCAAAGGAAATAAAACACAATAATCCCTGCTGGTGCTGTCTGTTAGTGCATCTACACAGCAGTGTTATTTCGGAATAACATAGTCCGCATCTACACTACAAGCAGTTTTCAACATAAAGTCAAAATAATGTCCAGCTGGAGGACTTCCTACTCTGATTCCTATAACCCTCATTTTACAAGGAGTAAGGGAAATTGGAGGAAGAGTGCTCTTCCTCGGATTTCCTGCAGTGTAGACAGCACCAAAAGCCAAAATAAACTATTTTGACATAAGCTACGCAATCGATGTAGCTCAAGTTGCGTAGCTTATTTCGGCTTTAGTCCTTCTATGTAGACTGCCCTTAGAGAGCTAGAGTCCTTTGCGAGGACACCTCTATGCCTGTGCACTTCCAGCAGCTATGATGTTGCAGCAGCCAGACCTGATGGTAGTCCCCCTTCATGGGGAGGAGAAGGGATGGTGTATGTGCTGCATTTTCTCTTCTCAAGTGGCTGGGGGTGTGTGTGTACTTTTCTCTGTGTTACAGACTCTCCCCTTTCTGGGTGTGTAGGTGGAAGGTGTGCAAAAGTCAGTCTCCTCGTCTCCCAATGAACGATTTGGCTGTGGATTTTCCATAAGGCACTGATGCTGTCAATCATCCTGGTATGACATTTCCTCCATCCTGCAGCAGTTTGGGGCAGGAGCCCCTGATTGTTCTACACCCTTAGCGAGGCAGGAGCGCTTACTCCAGTCAATAACACAAGAAGGATCATTCTCTACTCCCCACCCTGAGGCTCCTGTAACCTGTTAACCCGTTAGCTCACGATTCCCACACCTCCCCACGTGCGGAGCCGAGGAACGGGCAGAGAGTAGCGTAGCCTCCTCGCAATCCCCTGCTCCCATGTCACCTTACCAGGGTTTTGGCTACGTTCCCTCTCTGTGTGATGTTTTTGCTGTGCTTTTCGTTAGCCATCCGAATCCGCTGTTTGGCCACCATGGCTGTGGGGATGGAGATGTAGAGAGCTCAGAAATTCCGAAGGCCAAAAGGCTTCTGGGGCTGGTTTGTGGCGCGCCAGAAGAACAGCCCCCTGAGTGGAGCAAGTGTGGCTGCAACTGCCCCGAGTCCAAGTACCCCCAGCAAGCTGCAAAGCGAGGAGAGGGCTGCTGGCAGGATGGATGGACGGAAGTAATCTCTCATCTCAGGAAACCCTCTCCAGCTTCCTCCTACCCTTCCGGTCCCCCTGCTGCCTAAGCACAGGCGGCAAGTGCTAAGGCTGCCTGCAGGCTCCGCTTTCCCCTGGCTGCGAGCACGCATCCCGTTTGCATTGTGCAGAGCTGGGAGCTGCCAAGGCTCGTGTAGTGAATCGGACGAATGGATGGACGGAAGTAATCTCTCATCTCAGGAAACCCTCTCCAGCTTCCTCCTACCCTTCCGGTCCCCCTGCTGCCTAAGCACAGGCGGCAAGTGCTAAGGCTGCCTGCAGGCTCCGCTTTCCCCTGGCTGCGAGCACGCATCCCGTTTGCATTGTGCAGAGCTGGGAGCTGCCAAGGCTCGTGTAGTGAATCGGACGAGCGTTCTCTCTCAGCGTTCCATCCATGGAACGCTGCAACAGACA